GTCCCAGAGCACACCGGAGGCAGAATCGAGTTCATAGCGGGCGCTGCGTGCATATTTACCAAAGCCCCTCACATGAGGACCTGGATTAAAGCAGCTGGTGCTTAGTCAGCCTGGACTTGGACTTCGAGAATATCAAGGTGGCTGGAATGTCATACGCTTTCCTGTCAAGGTCCGCCCCCTCCATGCTAAAGGAGATTTCTGTCAGGTAGCTGCTGATGAAACTCTGAGGCTGGGGGCTGACAGCTGTTGGAAGGTGTTACCTAGGGGCCTCGCTGTACAAAGCAGTGGGAAAACCTGCCAGACAGTGCTCTCAATGGCAAGCTATCCAGTTTTAGCTGGTTGGATGCCATTTGTACCCCCAATGCACACTCTGGGGTCCCCAAGTCTAATAGTCCCTAAGCAGGTTGTGTCCCTCGAGGGAGAGAGAAAGAGCGCATTTTCATTTCAATAAACATCTCTGGAATTTCTACGTATAGGTGGGATGAATGGAACTCTTGGATTAGGTGATGGCCCAGGTTTCTGCATGTGTCAAACATCCAATTGACGCCCCCCCGCGCCCCAAAAAGAACAGCCCGTTGAAGGAAGTCAGTAACTTTTTTTTGCAGGCAAATACAGTAGAAAGGACGCTACAAGTCCCATTTTGTACGTGCTGATAGTCGCTTTGCAAAGTGGCTGACAGTTTAACACCTGTCAACGGGGCCCTCATAACCCAGTGGAATTTCACACCTTGACTTTGTTCTTTCCAGCTCAAACCACATTAGGAACCGCACGTAGGCAGAATGTAGTGGAAAATAAGGGTGTTCTCGACACATGAGGGCTTTTTTAAAATATAAGGGCCTTGAACAGGTAGATGTGACCTTAGTTGAAGGCCTCACCCGAAGCATGACATCTACGATGATCAGTGCTCCTACAGCCCTGCACTGAAATGTTAACATGTATAGGGAGCTGTGACGAGCTGTGACCTCCCTTTTCTGTCTAAGGTCCTTGAGAGAGCCGTTATCTCCCAGCTTCGCTCTTTCCTCCCACTCTGTCCATGAGCCCCTCCAATCGGGTTTCCGTGCTGCCCACAGCAAGCAAACTGCTCTGGTCAAGGTCACAAACGACATCCTGACCATGTGTAACTAGGGCTTCCTCTGCCTCCTCGTCCTGCTCAACCTCTCTGCCGCTTTTGATACTGTGGACCACTTAATCCTCCTCCACCATCTCTCCTCCCACCTCAACCTTCAACGTTCTGTCCTTGACTGGTTCAGGTCCTGCCTTTCACACCACCTCCACTTCGTCTCAGCAAATGGCTTCTTCTCCAGCCCCCGCACCGTCTCATGCGGCGTTCCTCAGGGCTCTATCCTCTGTCCTCCTCTTCACCCTCTACATGCTCCCCCTTGGTGGCATCATCCGCAGACACGGGGTAAATTTCCACATGTGTGCAGATGACACCCAACTCTATCTCTCTGCCTCCACCCTCAACTCCAGGACCACTGGCATCCTGACCGACTGCCTGTCCAACATCAAGTCCTGGACGAGGGACAACTTTCTCCAACTGAACGTCAGCAAGACCGAGGCCCTCCTAATTGGCTCGTGCCAGTGCCTCCGCACCTCGGGCGCTGGCAGCATCAGCCTCCATGGCTGCACACTCAACCTCACTGAGCCAGTCAGGAACCTGGATGTCTTGTTTGACCCTGAACTGTCCTTTCTCCCCCACATTCGCGCCATGACCGGCACTGCCTACCACCACCTTCGCAACATTGCCAGACTCCGCCACTGCCTCACCCCTCAGGCTGTCGAAGCCCTCACCCACACATTCGTCACATTAAGGCTCAATTATGGAAACTCCCTCCTCATCGGCCTTCCCAACTCTTCCCTTCCCAAGCTGCAGATCATCCAAAACTCTGCAGCTCGTGTACTCTCGCGCACCAGGCTCCGTGACTCCATCACTTCCACCCGACTCCGCTGGCTCCCCATCCCCCAGGGGATCGAATTCAAGATCCTCGTCCTCACTTTCAAGGCCATCCATCGTCTTGCCCCCTCCTACCTTTCTGACCTGCTGCCTCCCTACCAATCTGCCCGCTCCCTCCAGCGGGCTCCGGCCTGCTCCATGGCTCCCGCCCAACCTCAGCCTCTCTGCCTCCACACTCTGGAACTCCACCCCACAGTCCTTCGCTTCGCTTCCTCCCTTGCCTCCTTCAAGGCCGGTCTCAAGACCCTCCTCTTCGATCGTGCCTTCAGTTGCCCTCCCACCTCTCTGCCTTCCCTCACCCCTACCCCACCCCGCCCCCCCCATGCTCGGGTCCTGAACCCTGACTGTCCAGCGCCTTGGGACATCCTCCCGATGTAAAAGGCGCTCTATAAATGTAATTTTGTTGTTATGATTCTTAAACGCAGCTTAAGACTGATCAAAGTGGTGATGAGGTATCTGTGTGTTTCCAAGTGTGTGAAATCCTCAGGAACTCAGGAATGCCAATTGGTGTGAAGGGGATTAGGACAAGTCTTTTTACACAATTGAGAGAGCATGTGAAATGTGCTGCCCCAGCACAAGTTCTTTGCTGCTGCTGCTGCTGCTGGGGGTGGTGGTGGGGAGAGCGATCTCAGGCAGTGTTGGAATTCTAAAATAGTGCATAGCAACCCTCAGGATTCAGGCCTGGGATGTTTCCTCATGTTTACAAACAAAGGAATTTTCCCTATCATTCCTGTCCAAAATCAATCTGGCTGCCATGTTGCAGGAAGCAAGGTCTGCCTGTTCGGGTAGAGGTGAAAGTTCCCATGGCACGAATCAAAAAGTGAAGGGTGTTTCTCCTGGTCAACAAATCCCCCAAATAGAGTTGGGCACTCGCTCTATGGCTTTTTGTAGGACATTTCAGGTGGTAACTCGCCCATCAGTTTTTTTCCTCAGTACTTTACTGGTGCCTGTGTCTTATCAGGATCAATGGGCATCCAGATATCCAGCCAGTTAGCAGGAATAACTTCTGCCGTGTGATCCAAACATACACCCATCTGGATCGTATCCTTGACTCACAAGACACAAGATCGGTTTGCATGAAGAAGACACTTTGGTCCATCCAATCTCATCCTTCCAGGATACCCACCCTCGCATCCCGCCAATCTCTCCATGGATTATCATTTATTGCAAACCATCTGCAAGAGGAAAGTATATTTTTCCTTCATTTCTGAATCAATCGATCTGCAGCAAGGTCAAATCTAACACTTGAGGGTGATAATTATCACTGGATAGGATGGCATTTGGTGCAATTTCTGCTGATAATTGTCACCGGTGGATGATAATTAGTCCAATAAGTATTATCACTCACTGCATTTTTCACCTTAAATGTCTTGGCACTGTGATTACGGCGATTTGAATCCTCACCCTTGAATTCAAGTCCCTGCACTCCTCTGCACCCCCCGACCTTTCTGACCTCCTCTCTCCTCAAAACAGTACCCGTTGCCTTCATTCCTGGCCTCCTCCTCGTTCCCCGAGTCCTCTGCTCCACCCTCAGCGGCCGTGCCTTCAGCCACTATACCCCGAGGCTCTGGAATTCCCTTCCTCACTCCCTTCACCTCGCCCCCTCTCTTCCTATTTTCAGGTCCCTGCTGAAGACCTTTCTTTTCGGCCGCACCTTTGGTCACCTTCCTCCCCCTGGCTCGGCCCCGGGATCCATTACTGTAAAGTGCTCTGAAAGGCTGTATAAATCGAAGTTGTTGTTGTTAATGATTAGTGCTGAATTTTCTTTTGAAAGTAAAAAAGTTAATTGGAGATTTCACAGTCAGATTGGTGTCCTTCCTTTTCGGGGAAAACAATCAAACATGGAAATAGGAAATGGGTCTTATCTCTGCACCAAAACCAAAAATAATTTGTTTATCTCTATGTTGTCCTCATAACTTCAGAAATCAGCCTAGCATTGTCCTGTGCGATTTATAATTTGGAATGACAAAAATGTAACCTTCAGCAAAAATCTGCTGCTTCCTCCTTAGTGGCGGAAGCGTTTTAAGCATTCTTGAGATGCTTGTTGTTGTTGTTGTTATGTCTTCCCTTGGTAGCACGCTTATTTTTGGGTTCCACAAACAGCCCGAGGCCTGAACAATCAATTTTATTTGGTGGGGGTGGGGTTTGTTGGCCAGGACACACGGACAGAGAAACCACCTACTCTTTTCGAATAGGGGTCTTTAACGAACCACCTGGACAGATAGGTTCATGGTTCAAGTAAAGGTCCCAGGTTGAAGCATGTTCCGTTGATCCCAATGCGTTCAAATGCGAAGACCAGTAATTACTGACCAGTAATTCAGTGTGTTAGCTTGGCTTCATTGACAGTTCTCCGCAACACAAGGTTGTGGGTTCAAGCCTCATGTTGGGACTGTGAGCTCACTGCCAAGATTTGAGTCACAGCTGACACTCCAGGGCAGTACTATTATCATAGGTGCCAAGACATAAAACCAGAGGTTACTTTTTCTTCACGGGGTCATAAAAGATCCTTTTGAAAACGAAGGTCGTTTCGCTCACTGTCCTGACCAACAATCTTCCAGCTGAATTGGTTGCTACATTGGCTTTGCGGTGCCCAAAACAGCCTACAATAAAAGTCACTACAAATGAGATGCTTTGCCGTTATCAAAATACAAGTTCTCTCTTTTTCTTATTGGCCAAGTATGGGGAGTGATGGCGATGTGGAGCCTGGTATGTGAGTGTCCTGTAACCTTTCCTACTTGTGTCACTACAGAACCTGTTTTCTTGATTTTATAAACCATTGTCACAGCTTTTAATCTTATTGTTTCCCAAGGAAAGGCAAACACACACACACCTGGATAAACTCACAAAGTGCCAAGTGGGCAGTTTCTGAGCCACTTGAACAGAGTGTTCTGCATTACAGAGTGGTCACACCCTGAAAGTGAAGTCAATATGGGAAAGCTATCCCGTTGATTGGTGTCAAGGCATTCACAGCTGAGGGATCACAAACAACAGCTACACAGGCATTCTGAACAAAACTCTGAACTGCTTACTCTTGGATTCTTTCCAGGGTGATATCTGACTTTGACGTCCCTGCAAGTTCACTGATTGGAGCACATGGATACTGCACACAGGTCAGTGAAGCTCAAGCCGTCGAGGCAGTCTCGAGAGCAGCCTTAGAACTTTTGCTGAAGTCTAGGGGTCAGATTTGTTCTCCAGCTGTCTTATCTCGTAGTCAGACCCCCACTGGTTCAAGCGAGAGGACCCGGGTTCGATTCCCGGGCAGGGAAATCTTAGGCAAGTTTCGTTACTCCATCCGCCTTTGTTTACCTAGCAGTAAGTAGGAACCCGGTTGTTAGTCAAATAGCGGATTGGGAAAATAATCTCTCCCCCAAAAAGTGGTCACTCAGTCCACGACTATTTGTGGGACGCTGCCATGTTTTGCTCACAAAATACACCATAAATCCACTTCACAATATATTCCGTGAAGCGCTTTGAGACTTCTCAACGTAATAAGGCGCTATATCAATGCATGAGTTATTATTACTCATACTGGGACTTGAGTTGACAATCCAGGTTGACACTCCAATGCAGGGCTGTTCAATGCCCTGCATTGTTGAAGATACAATACAAAGTTACACCAAGGACCCATTTAGTTGACGTCAAAGATCCTGTGAAACTATTCGAAAAGAGAATAAGCTCATGCGTTGGTTCCTAATCCTCAATGAAATTAATTGAGGACAGATGTGCTGTATTATATAAAATACAAGGATTTTTATTTATATTAATCGTATTGAATCACCATTTCTCAATGGTGATATCGGAAAAGCAATGGATGGATTTCCAGCTCAATATAACAACAACTTAAATATGTAATCTTCCACCACCAGCTTTTCCGTTAACCAAAAGCTGAAAAAAGTCTGAAGTTTAACGTCTCGGAATAACAGACCTCGCATTTGATACAGCCCCTTATCATGTCGTTGAAACATCTCAAAGCACTTCACAGAACATACTGCAAAATGGAGTGACTGTATTTTGTGGGAGGGGGGGGGGGATTTTTCACCCCTTTCTCTTTTCAGATTATATCATGCAAAAAAAAATAATAATAATTTGGTCACTGTAAAGTGCTCTGAGAGGCAACCCTATATAAAGGCAAGTTGTTGTTTTAAGCTACGTTGATAAAACTTCAGTCCTAGTTCTGTAGAATGTTAAATTCATCAGATATTTGTGGATTGTGTCTCCCCAGGAGCTAGTGAACTTGCTGTTGACTGGCAGGGCTGTTTCCAATGTTTTCAATGATGTTGTAGACCTTGATTCTGGCAACGGGAACATCACCGTGCTCAAAGGAATCACAGGGCGTAGCGACATTGGATTGCTTTCACTCTTTGAGCACTACAGCATATGCAAGGTATGTTTCACAGGGCTGATGGTGGCATTGTTCTGGGTTTGTACAGCGGCTTGAGATAGCTGCTAAACTACCAGCACTTTGTTCCTCTCTTGATCATTTGTTCCTCTCTTGATCATTTGTTCCCAGTGCTTCAGTGGGTAAAAACACTTCTTTATACTAAAGAAGTCCTGTAGCTCAGTGGTTAGAGCCCTCACCTCGCAAGCGAGAGGACCTCGGTTTGATTCCCGAGCAGGGCAAAATGTTGGGCAAGTTTGCTTACTCCACGCACACGCCACTATTTACCTAGCAGGAAGTAGGTACCCGGTTGTTAATCAATTAGTGGTCGCTTTCCAGTGGTAATAATCCCTTCAAAATAATAAATAAAAATTTGGTCATTCAATCCACAACTGTTTGTGGGGACGCTGCTGTGCACAATTGGCTGCTGCGTTTCACGCACAAAATATGCAGTCAATTCACTTTACAGTGTATTCTGTGAGGCGCTTTGAGACGTCTCGAAGATGTCATAAGGCGCTTTATCAAATGCAAGGATTATGTAAATGATATGGCACGAACCCCTAACCAAGCCCACCTCCTATTCACCTCTCCTGAATCTCTCTGCTCCTTGGATTTACATGCCTGTGCTTTTTAGCATACACACCCACAAACACAAGCAGAATCATTTGCTACAAACAGTCAAATTGCTGGCAACAGGAAACGGCAGAGTTTACAAAACAGATCTTTTGTCTGTAGATGTCAGTGGCTATGGGGATCTGTGCCTAAATTGAACTCTTGAGTGTGCTTAGAGCTGATCATAGAATCTTACAGCACAGAAGGAGGCCATTCGGCCCATCGTGCCTGTGCCAACTCTTTTAAAACTTTTTCAGAGACAAGCTTTTCTGTCAGCTTTTCGGAGTAACTCTTTTGAGAGAGTGGCGAATTTCACCCGTCCTTCAGCTGACATGTTAACCGAGGTCTTGCCTGCCTGTTTAGGTGGACGTTAAAGATCCTACAGCGCTATTTGAAAAGAGAATGGTGTCTTGACCAATAATTCCCACACCCACCCTCCAACAAAATTGCTCATGGCTCTTTGTGCAACATTGGCTACCGTGTTTGCCCACAAAACACAGTCTCCAGTGAATTCCATGAAGTGCTTTGAGATGTCCTCCTGATGTGAAAGGCACTATACTAAAAGGTGAGTAGCATTATTTGCACTAAAGAATCAGGACGTTCCAGCACAGAACATTCGGGCATCGATTGTGTGCTGTTGTTTGTTTTCCACAATAGGCGTATTTCCCAATCTGATCCCATTCTCCTGCTCGCTCCCAGGGCTATTTTAATATTCCTCTTCAATCTGATTCTCTTTGACAACAACAAACTACATTTTTATGGCGCCTTTCATGTCGGGAGGATGTCCCAAGGCACTTTTAAAAGATCTGCGACGCTTTGGGGCAGAGAATTCCACATTCCAACCAACCTCTGTGCAAAAAAAAAAACCCTGTGACTAACCTCCCTTTTAATTATTTTTTCAATGATGGTTTTTAACTGAATTTGTCATGATTCGTAACCGCTTGCATTTGATATGACGGTCACAAGAACACAGAAAGGAAAGCTTAGAAGAAATGCTTTCAACAACAAAAAGAACGAATTGCATTTATATAGTGCTTTTTTTTACCCGGAGCAGCATCTCGAGCGCTGTGTGTGAGTGTGGGATGGAGAATAGTGTGCCAAGTATGGTGGTGGGTTTCAAGAGGGAGTACACAGATACATAAAGGATATAGGTATAGGAGTAAGGCAGGGAATTGGGACTGAACGAACAGCTTGCTCTGAGAGAAAACTTGATGGGCCGAATGGCCTCCTTCTGTGCTGTCATTTTTTTATAATTCTATGCTACAGTGCCTTATCACATTGTCAGACCATCTCAAAGTATTTTCTAAGCATTTTACAGTGAAGTGCATTCTTTTCAATCTTTGTAAAGGAACTGTATTTGTAGGAAAATACAGTGCACAGCAATGACCCACAAGTTATTTCTGTAGCGTACTTTGTATCGGACATTTTGGGGTGCTTCATAGAGACGGGGGGGGGGGTCAGACTCCGCGGACTGGAGATGGAAAGGACCGTAGGTCAAAGAGGTAACTGTTTTTGAAAAGGGTGTGATTATCAAGTCACTTAGAGCGAGCGGCCTTTCGAAGTGATGGACGCTATATAAATGTAATTTGTGGTTGTTGTAAGCCTTGCACCCCATTTGAAATTCCGAAATGTGCCCAAATTTATTCCTCTTCATCATCACAAAACCTGCCAGTTTTTGGTAAATTTAGCTCAAGCAACAAGCGCGAGTTAATAATTATCGACGATACGCAGATGAAGCTTCGAACAATACAACATTGTGGTTAAATGCAATTGGCAGATGTGTGTATTTAGCCAACCAGGGCACACACATCCGTTCTAGGTAGTGAGTACTCGTAGTCAAGACGTCTGCGTGCCGGAACTGAACTAAAATATTCACCCTCTTCCCTTCCCACCCCCACCCCCTGGGAGGTGGACACAGCCTGCTTGCAAGGCGAGTGCTCTGACCACTGAGGTTTGATGGAAGCCATGACATTGGAAACTCCAAGGTGCCCATTGTTGTACTGCTGCCATTGAATCAGTCAGAAACATGCAGCTCACAATGGTTTTCAAACCAATAAAAAAAAATCTTCCTCTTTGAAAATGTATCACCTTCCCCCTTACCCTCTCCTCGATCTTGATGTCCCACAATGTCCATGTAAAGTATTTTGAGACATACTCCTAGGAAAGGTGAAAGCTCCCTTCTCTTTTCGAAGAGCACCATGGGATCTTTCACAGCCACCTGGACAAGCATATGGGACCTCGGTTTAATGTCACATTTGAAAGACGGCACCTCCGACAATACTATAACCCTCCAGCACTGATTTGAAATGCTATGACCTACAATCCTCCAGATTTAATTGGTCATTCATCTCATGGCTGTTTGTGGGATCTTGCTGCGCGCTAATCGGCTGAGTTTGCCTAAACAACGCACCGCCACAGTCAAACTGGAAGTTTTGAGCAGTGACCAGAAAGGTTAAGATGAACTCCATTTGACTTTAATAGCCATTGGAGATTTGTTGTCATCGTTGGAGATGGATCGAGCATCGGAAAGGTGATAAGATTAGGAATTTTTAAGAACATAAGAATTTGCTGGCGAAAGCAGACCAAGGTCCATTTGGTTCGCGCTTGACATGCCGTGTCCCAAACTATGTACTGTATCTGAGATATTATTTTCTACCTTCCTGTATTGTTTTAGGGAGATAAATTCTGATTCTATTCCCCCTCTTTTCTCCTGGGTGTGAGTGAGGTGAGCTGTGCCCGTAGATAAGACTTTGTGTGGCCTATAATGAGTCTGGGGGGCATGGGGAATCTGCTATGTGTGATGGTATCAGTTTTATGAAAGAGTAGCGACTCACTCGTATATCTCATTTGTCCACCTGACTGATCCGGTCGGACCTGACAATCCAGTATTCTAAGAGAACCAGAAAGAGCTGGAAAAATGCAGTTAAGATCCCAATCACTGATTACGATCTCTCTTTTGTCTTTCCCACACCACCCACCCTCATTGGGCAGAGAACCTCAATAGAATCATCGCATTTTTCAGCAGAGAAGGTGTTGTACCTGTTTTTTTTCTAAATCCACCTTTTGACCGGATCAATCCAACTTCCGAGCCCCCTTTTCCCCGATGTTTCTGTAACTCTGTGGGAGAGAGTGTGGCACGTGCTAATTAGCACATTGACCAGAACTGTAGTCCGAAGCGGGTAATAGTTCGGGAGTTAAGCCCTCTCCTCCAAGTACCCCTATACTTGTTTCCAGGGGTGCAGTCCCCAGAGAGTACTTCCATATTGATCCGTCTGCTCCCTCTACTTCACGTCCCCAGCCCGGTCGGCCCAACCATTGGCAGTCGGGCCTCAGCCTCTCTGCCCCCACCTTTTGGGATTTGTCATTGAGATAGTGAGATCTGATTTTACTGTGGTCTGTCGTGTAGATTGCAAAGATATATTTTGGTCCAATAGAGCACATCACTTCCCCCATCCCACTTCCATATCCCTTAATACTCTTGCAAAACCTTTCTAAGGGACGAGAGAATTGGACTGCCATCACTTATGTCACTTATCACTTATATCTCTACATAAAAATACACCATGTGATATCAGCGATATTTATCGTATTGGTCACAAACTACGGGCAGAAGTAGTTGATGATTATTTCAACAACATCAACTTGCACTTATATTTCTAGCCCTGTGTTCACAGTACTATCCGCAGTTGAGTTCAACCCTCTCCCCGAGCACTGTAATAATTACTGATTGCTCTTGACTGCATTTTTTGTGGTGATAATTAATGCTGATGATAATATCACATGCCACTTTCTCTCCTTCGGTATGTGCTCAAAGGTCAAAGAGCTAGGTTTCAAGGCAGCACATGAAGACAGATCAAGATGGGGAGGGATAGAGCATAATGGGAGGCAGTTCAAGAGATTAGGGGCACCGTAGGTGAAAACTTGGCTACCAGAGATGTTTGGAATGAACGTGCAGCAAGCTTGAATTAGCCGAGCAGAGGGGATGAGGACAGGGTGTGGGGTAAGAGATCAGTGAGATAGGGCAGTGTTGGAGTGGGAAGGGATTTGTAGGTGAGGCTTTGAAATTGATCTGCTGGGAGACAGAGGACTGGAGTGAGAGGCAATGTGGAGTTAGTCCTGTGGAGGATTAGGGTGGTGGAGTTTTGTGGACTTTATGGATGGTGGAGGCACCAGCAAGTAGCACATTTGAATAGTGCAGTCTTGGTCTTGGTCAAAGAACAGATGTGAGGGAACAAGGAGAGTTGAGGATTGAACTGGATGGTTTGCTGGTTTGTAGTTGCATCCAACGGATGTTCTGATTGTCAAAGGTGCCAATTCTTCGGATGAGATGTTAAACTGAGATGCTAAGCTGACTGCCTGTTCAGGAGAACGTTAAAAGATCCCTTAGCTTTTTTCGAAAAAAGAGAAGGGAGTTTCTCTCTCCTTAGTGTCTTGGTCAACAATCCCACAAATAAATTGGTCACTCACTCCGTAGTTGTTCGTGGGACGTTGCTGTGCGCAAATTGGCTGCCGTGTTTCCCCCACAAAACACACAAGCATTGCATGCCAGTAAGCAATGAAGTGGTTTGGGCTCATTGTGAAAGGCGGCATATCAAATGCAAGGATTATTATTATTATTATTATCCCAATTTGCAGTCAAACTTTTGATTCCAGAGATCACATCTCAACCAATGAAATGGTTTGAAACATTTCTACTTTATATGCATTGTATCACACGCAAGGTTTATTTATTTTTATTATTACGTATTGATTGTCTATTGTGTTGCACAATGTTTCTGGCAAATGTGATAACTATTTCATAACATAGTACCTCAGTGTTCTGATTTTCTTTGGCAAATTAACATAAATACTAGATATCTGATCAGTGCTGATACTGACTATAAAGATACTTCAACATTGTAAAATAGCAATACTGCATCGGTATCAGCCAGACTCTCAGTTGATGACTCAGTTGGTAAAGGGTATGTATTGTCCTTTGCGGAACTGAGTCATGTAGCCCAAGAGGGTTACATGCGGTGGAGCCCAGCTTCACCTCCTTGCCCCTCTACTCACAGACCTCATCAACTCCTGCCCGGGTCCAAATCCCTCTGTCCAGCGCCTTGGACATTGTAATTTTGTTATTGTATTTATTGTATAGGTGGGATCCTACCTGAAAACTCCAAGGTTTCCGATTTGGGTGGTCTGCAGTGAAAGTCACTTCAGTGTGTTGTTCAGCTTGAAGAAGGAGTTAATGAACGACTGGAAATTCGAGAGGAAATTTGACATGTACTACTATGACGGCCTGGCGAACCAACAGGATGAAATCCGACTGACAATAGGTCTGTGTTCACTTAAATCTTCAATCTCAGTTAAATCTCAGTTCAAAGTACAGCAGAGGATTATTATTGTTGGTATAGATGGCGGTGGGGTGGTGGAAAGGCAGAGGGATTGAGGCAGGGAGTTCCATAGCTTAGTTAGTTAGTGGCTTAGTCAATAAAAGCTCGACCTCCGATGGTAGTAGAGGGGTCGAGGATACGGAGATCAAGCTAACAAGTTAAGAATCGAGTTCTCATTTTTCGTTGCTTTTGCTATTCTCGGGAGCATTCGATGAGGTTAATTATTAGGATAATTATTTGTCTCTATCAGATGCGCCTCAGACGTGCGTGGTGACCAGGGAAGATGATTTGATTCCGCCACTCGAAAACTGCATCAGGACAAAGTGAGTGACTTGCCTCAGTACAGCCAGTGACCTATAGACACAGTTTGAACAGCTGTGGGGACATTTTTGCACTAAGTTTCGCCCACAAAATATACAGTCAGATTCACTTTACAGCGTGTTCGTTGAGACGTCTCGAAGACGTGATAAGGCGCTGCGTTAACTGCAAGGATTATCATAATCGTTATTAAGTCTTACCTTTTCAGCTAACCTTTTGTTTCCTATCTAAAGATATCAAGGCTGTCAGGGGAGAGAGAATGGTGACGTTATTTACCACATCCCTTGCTGAGTGCATTTATCTGCCAAACATTAAAGGCTCCCTGTTATAGATTTTCCACACTGGACAAATTCCAGACACCTTAAGCACGTTTAACACATGGCAAGTCTGTTGATATAAGAAATATCTCCACTGGTCCCAGTGGTGTCATGTTTAGAAGATTTGCAGCACAGAACCATTCGGCCCATCATGATGGAGTGACTTGAATCCCTTTGAACAGGCGCAGGGGTACAGTGGTAAAGCCAGATAAGCAATTCCATGCTGCATTCTGTTTACAGTCTATTCATTCCAGAACTAGTGCTGCTGCAGCAAGGGCCACACAGAAGGGTCTTGGGTTCATAACCCTGTTGAGTTAACTGATTTCATTGCAACTGGGTTCTTCAGCCCCACTGAGCTCGGTGGAGTCCTGTAGTTTAGTGGTTAGAGAGAGCACTCACAAGCGAGAGGACCTGAGTTCAATTCCCATCCAGGGCGAAACGTTGGGCAAATTTCCTTACTCTGTACCTAACAGTAAGTGGAAATCCGGTTGTTAGTCGATTGGCGGATCGCTTTTGCCGGGGGTGATAATTCTGCCAAATAAAAATATAACAATTTGATCAATTCAATCCATGACTTTGTGGGACGCTGCTGTGCGTAATTGGCTGCCGCGTTTCTCCCATAAAATAGACAGTCAATTCACTTTAAATCCTGTGAAGCGCTTTGAGACGTCTCAATGACATGATAACATAACATGTAGGAGCAGGAGTGGACCATTCGGCCCTTCGAGCCTGCCCCGCCATTCAATCATGGCTGATCTTCTAATCTAACTCCATCTAATAACCTGACGCTGCCTTATCCCCATATCCCTTAATCCCTTTAGCAATAAGAAATCTATCTATCTCAGTCTTGACTATGTTCAAGGACTGAGCGTCAACAGCCCTTTGGGGTAGTGAGTTCCATACATTCACTGTCCTTGAGTGAAGAAGTTCTTCCTCAACTCAGTGCGAAAGGGTTGGCCTCTGATTTTAAGGTTGTGACCCCTGGTTTTAGTTTCTCCAATCAGGGGAAACAATCTCCCACTATCTACTCTATCATGCCCTTTGATGATCTTATAGGTTTCTATAAGAATCCCCTCTAATTCTTCTATATTCTAGAGAATATAGCCCCAAATTGGTCAGCCTATCCTCGTAACTCATCCCCTTCATCCCTGGCACTAACCGAGTAAATCTACGCTGCACCCCCTCCAAGGCAAGTACATCCTTCCTTAAATAAGGAGACCAAAACTGCACACAGTATTCCAGGTGTGGTCTCACCAGGACCCTATACAGTTGCAGCAAGACTTCCCTACTCTTATACTCTAATCCTTTCATAATGAATACTAACATACCGTTCACCTCCTAATTGCTGCTGCACCCACAGACTAACTTTCTGTGATTGGTGTACAAGGACACCCAAGTCCCTCTGGACGCTAACACATTCCAGTCTCTCCCCTTCTAAAAAATAACCTGCTTTACTGTTTTTGCTACCGAGGTGGATGTCTTCACGCTTCCCTACATTCATGTCCCACCTACCTGCCCAATCACCTAACCTATCTATGTCTCACTGCATTTTTTTAATGTCGTCCTCTGTGTTGACACTTCCTCCTAGTTTTGTGTCATCTGCGAATTTAGATGTATTAACTTCGATGTCCTCATCAAGATCGTTGATGTAGATGGTAAATAGCTGAGGCCCAAGGACTGATCCTTGTGGCACTCCACTAGTCACATCCCGCCAATCTGAAAAGGACCCGTTTATCCCTACTCTTTGTTTCCTACCCGTTAACCATTCCCCAATCCACGTTAATATGCTCCCCCCAATTCCATGGGTCCTTATCTTTTGGACTAACCTTTTATGTGGCACCTTAATAATTATTATTACTAAGACCACCTGGAGAGATCTCTGGCTTGGCTGTGACACCCAAAGTCAAGCCTAACACATGAATAGTAGATACTTGGCTGAGGTGCTAGTTGGCATTTAGTCTCTTCTAATCTATTTGTGTTGGCCTGGCTCAGTGAGTTGTACTCTCGCCTCTTGAGTCAGAAGGTTGGGGTTCAAGCCCCTTAGAATTCACATAGTCTAGGCTGCACTGCACAACAGGGCTGGGGAACTCACTACAATGTTGGAAGTGCTGTCCATCCTTCAGATGAGACATTAAAACAAGGTCCCGTCTGTCTGTTCAGGTGGAGGTTAAAGATCTGGTGACACAAGCTGAAAAGCGAACAACAACAAATTAACATTACATTTGTTTCGCGCCTTTCACATTAGGAGGATGTCCCAAAGCGCTGGAGGAAGGGAGTTTCTCTCTCCCGGTGACCTGGCCGACAATCCCCAAAATAAAATGAATCATTCACTCAATTGCACTTTGTGGGACGATGCCACCAGCAAATTAATTTGAACCCGGACTTTACAGTAAATCCTGTGTAGTGTTTTGAGAAGTCCTCGTAATGCAAAACGTACAGTATCAAATGCAAGGATTATTTTTATTCATTATTTCACGTACACTGTTTGAAAGGGAAAAGGGTAGAGTGTACTGAAGACACTGAATCTAGTGCAAGGATTATTCTATTTTATTATTATAAAAAGAATTGATGGATGGCCTTGGCAGTAGAGAATTCCGTGTGCGTAATATCAGGTGGGATTCTCATGATTTCTCTTGCTGGGCGCCAAGTGTACATAACATAATAACAATAATAAATCCTGGCATTTGATACAGTGCCTTATCACGTCTTCGGAACGTCTCAAAGCGCTTCACAGGATACGCTGTAAAGTGGTGTGACTGTACATTGGGTCGACTTGAAAGTAAAATAATTTAGCAGCAACTATAATAATCTGCTTTGATACGTCTTTGATTTGTTTTGTGCAGGTGGAAGGGAGCAGTCATAGACTGGAACGGAACAGAGCCAATCCTGTAAACCACATGGACTGCATTGCATGTACCTGTGAAATCAAGCGTGGAACACGGCCATGGGGCTATTGGATGCATGAGTCAATAAGCGAGCCTTCATTTCGCTGTAGATAATATCAGAACGGCTCGGAATAACAGCTTGCATCTGACGCACTCTCTACCCCCTCTTTCTTCCAAACGCCCCCGGAGGCTGGAAAGGGAAGGGGGCAGAAGGCCTCTTGTATTGTCAGCCATCGGGGTAAAATGTACCCTCGCCAGCTCGCAGACACATCTCTAACATTACAGTCTCTCTCTCTCTCTCTCGCTCTGTACACGGGTGCTTTAAGCCATCTGTTCCCAGGGAGCAGAGACTTCTTTTTCCACGGTTACAGGTGAGGGGATGTTTTATAGATGATGGTGGGGTGGACAATGACTCCCCTTTCCCTGCGGTAATAGCAGGAGGTGTTAAGGGATGATCTGGACAGGATTTTTTTTGTTGGAAAACAGCATTTTGAGAGGCTCACACTTGGGTCAAGTTTTTTTTTAAAAAATCTTATTTTTGAAACGTGCCGAGATAGGAACTTGAACCGCGATCAGTTATTTGATCGCAAGCAATTACTTTTGCACCTCCGCCCCTTTCCCTCACTCTCCCTCCCTCCCCTATCTATCCCCACTCTGTGGAACTCACCCAAATCCCTCTGCCTTGCCCGCTTTCTCTTCCTGCCTTCACACATGTACCTCTTCGACCGTGCCTTTGGTCCACACTCAAACCCTTTCTCTCCTCCATGCTCAATGTCTTTGTACAGGGCGTGAAGACATGTATCTTATGTGAAAGGCTCTGTATTAAGTGCAAGCTGTTAGCGTTGAGCCAATGTTGCTGTATTGAATGTGCCATTGGCTTCGTCTCAATGAACTGAAAGCAGCCGTTTCATGTAGGTATGAGCTTTTCAGTGGTTGTAATGTCCCTCAAACGCCGCAGAATAATAGGGATCTTGGGATGTTCATTCGCTTCCTGTGCCTTAGTATTGTAGCAAACCCCAAACCTCCAATAGCTTTGTGAAGGCAGACCCACCTGGGAGCTGTGTGGGCAAACCCGAGGTCCAAAATACCTCACAGTATTAGCCTTAAGACCAGTGTCAGAATATAATCACAGGATAGAGAATAGAGATCCGCTCAGTTATAACAGGTGAGGTCCTTGGAATAAGACCTTGTGTTATGATTGGAGTGTGTTATAGAGCTGGTCAACACCCACAGGGGGTGTCAGGTTCGTCACTCATGGTGAGTACCTGCACTTCCTGGTGAGTCCTTACCTCTCTGTCTGTCTCACACTCTACTCTCTCTCTTGCACACCTCAATATACTGTGGGTCGAGTGTGTTCTCTGATTGATAGGACCTGCAGAAAATCAGCTCCAGAATTAACACTGGCTTCAAGAATTTTCTAAAATACAACGGTCTTCAGGCTAAGACTATAGATATTTCGGAGGTCAGAAAAATACTGATTTATAAATGCTGCACTTTTGTGAAACGTACTGTATGTCGATAAGTTACCGTCACGTAACGCTTTGATCGTCAGCACTCAGGTTAGGCCGCTTCCACTTCATCAGGTGAGTTTAGGTAAGCAGTTACGAGTTAAAAGAATATATATTTATATATTTGATACCTTTTAGAGAGCAAATGAAATGAATTGCGTGCTTGCCCAGGGCGTGGTCATCTATTATTTTAGTTGTAACTCAGTCACAGTTTCAGTCAGTAGCTGATCCATCCAGCTCCTCATCCAACTGCCCAAAAATCTCCTGTGACATTTTCAACTCATCACCCTGCAAGCCAAAGCCCTAACTGATGGTGAGGGTGGTCCTAGCTGGACAAGCAGCGGGAAAGCTTGTCAGACAGCGTTATCAATGGCGAGCTATGCGGTGTTAGCTGGTTAGACTTCAGCAGTTACCCCAACGCACACCCTGGGCTCCCTAATCCTGAATTCATTCAATTTCCAAAGATTTGTTGAGTTCCTGTTTTTAAAAGAAAAAAAATCAGTTGGTGCCTGATTCAGGAATTTGTGTGCAAGGAGGGAGGGAGGCGCTGGGAGCAACTCTGGAGAGTGCCAGCGCATTGACTTCCCTCCTGCTTGGCCTTGGCAATTAGACCCCGCAGAGGAGAGAGGAGCCTCCTCCACAATGGCAAGGGTGAAAGCCAAGTCCACTTTCACTGAATAGCCTGACAAAGATGAGTTAGGCTTTCTCGTTAAAGCATATCGCTGGGGACCCGTGGGAAGCAAAACCTCTCCTTTATCCAGTTAGTTCTTTTGACCAAGCAGAGTGGAACGTGCAGTGAATAAATCAACGGGGGAACAAGCCTCCGCTTTAAACAGGCAATAGTGCAATAGCCTGTCTACCATTGATACTGCCATCCACGTCCTGAAAACTCTTCCCACTATTATTGCTCCCATAATATATTGGCGGGGGGGAGGGGAACAGATACCAGCAGTGTTGGCTGCTATGTTTTATATAGAGAAGTGTAAATGGTGCCATCCCTAACAGCCACAGAACAAGGCCGACCAGGAAAGACCCCCGGAATTCAATAAAACATAAAATAACCAATAAGCAATTGAGTTAAACGATTGATTCTCCCGACGTGGAAGACGCTATACAAATGTCTTTTTTTTTTGTCATACGGCAAAAATTTTGTCACCTTATAGCCGCTTTTGCTTCTTCCGTCAACCTTCCCCTCCCCACGTGCAGGTGACACGTTCGGAAACCCATCAGCATGTGTTAGAGTATCCAAACCAAACTGAGAGTTCCATCTGTTCCCAACTACACATGGAAATATTTGTTGGAATGGAACGCGCACTCTCTCTCTCTCTCCCGAGAGGGAAAGTCTCCATTGCAGGTTGGCAAGAACCAAGGCTTGGGGGGGAACCCAGAGTGTATGTTGGGGTAACTGCTGGAGTCTATCCAGCTAAAACCGTAATGCTTGCCATTGAGAGCGCTGTCTGGCAAGCTTTCCCATTGCTAATCCAACTAGGACCACCTTACCCGTTAGGGCTTTGGTTTGTAGGGTTACCAGGAGCTGAATGGGAGGAATCCCTACCCCCAGTGACTGGTCTGCCCTTCCAGGTCCTACCGATGAGCCATGCTGGACTGGGCTGAGACCAGCCGTGCCCTGGCAATCTGTGGACTTGCCTGGCTCAGAAACAGGACTAGAGACCATCACAGAGGGTGGACTTCATTCCATACATGTCACCTTGCAGCCAGTTCAGCCCCGAGGAGACCCTGCTTACCTCCCACACACACACACACACGAACACACGCTACCAGTGGCGTGTCCTGCACAGGGACCAGGAGCAGGAATCTTGGCTTTGTTTTGCCGTTCAAAACTGGGAAGTTCAGTCCAAATTTACCCTCGCGATACAGACCTGACAAGAGAGCAGCAAACAGCAGACAGAGCTCCCATTTCTAACCAGTGTACTATCAGGGCTGTAGTCCGAGTTTCTCTGTGTGTTCATTCTGAACTCACCACCGGTATTCACTCTGTTCACATCGATAGAGCGCACTGACTAACCGGTCAAGGTGATGCGCTTTGAGACGTCTCAAAGACGTGATAAGACGCTGTATCAAATCAAGGATTATTATTATATCATATGTACCTATCGTATGGTAGAATTAGACCTGGAAAAACACCCTCCTCATCCTTTATTATTTCTCAGTAACACAAATATCGTGACGCCTGTCTCGTTTGGCTGTTGAACCGTACACCTGGATATGTTACACTTCCATTTCAATGAAGGCTACGTTTTTATCAGGAATCAAACTGAAGCTTTGGGCAATGGAGGCAAAAGGTTAATTCAGGTGGTTGCAGACTGCTCCACGCACAAAGGTATGCCCGTTTACATCCGGTAATTAATGACTTCGCCTTGGAAGTATTTTGCTTTGACGAGGCAAATTACGGTATTTTTGCGCTTGCCACAAAACCAGGGCATACCCTCTTGTGTTGTCACCCGCCAGTACTTCAGCTTTTCTCGTTGACCGTTTGTGTTCAGTCTCTAAAATGTACGCCAGCCCAGTAAGTGTGAATACAGTGTATTATAATTCTGTATATTTTAATAAATATTATGTTTCAAAGTGTGTGCGTGAGGCTAATTGTTCAAATTTCCTTTTTTTGTTGTTTCCGTGAAAGGATTCCCCCCCCACCCCCCGACCGCGCTTTCAGCCATCTTTCCTCATCCCCCGCTGTGTAAATGTAAATTGTATTGTACTAAACCATTTTTCTTTAAGGTAGAGTTCTGCGGAGCCTTGCACCCACAGTGGATAGAGCACTCGCGAGCGAGAGGACCTGGGTTCAATTCCTGGGCAGAGCAAAATGTTAGGCAAGTTTCCTCACTCCACACACACACACGCACACACACCTGGTTACCGAGCAGTAGGTAGGATCCTGGTTGATAGTCCGATTGGCAGGTTGCCTTCTGGAGCTAATAATCCCTCCAAATAAATAATAATTTGGTCACTCAATCCACGGCTGTTTGTGGGGACGCTGCTGTGCGCAATCGGCTGCTGCGTTTTATCCACAAACTATACAGTCAATTCACTACATCCTGCAAAGCGCTTTGAGTCGTCTCAACGCCGTGATAAGGCGTTGAGTTAATTATTATTAGTTAATTATTATTATTATTATTATAATTAAGTTAATTATTATTAACTTCGGAGATGGTACAGTGCCCTTTACAAGGGACGGTGTTTACGACCTGGCAACCTGGGAAGTGGGGGTTGGAGGCAAGTTGGTCGGAGAGGTAGGATTTAGGAACCGAAGAGAAATGGAAAGGGAGTTTGGACAGAACTTAATAGCAGAAAGAAATAGAAGTGGTGGGAGCTCAGCCGCAAATGGCGTGAAACAGGGATGGCAGAAAGGGCTGTTCACTATTTAAAGGTGTACTTGGTACTCTGCATAATAATATGAGAGTTCCAAGTGCACCTTTAAACTACTGTGATAAGATATGACGATGATGTTGAAGTCCTGGAGTCCTGTGGCTCAGTGGTTAGAGCACTCGCTCTGCGAGTGAGAGACCTGAGTTCAATTCCAGGCAGAGGGTGAAACCTCGGGCAAGTTTCCTTACTCCACACAGAGCCTAATAATAATCCTCCAAAACCAAAAACAATAATAAATTGGTCATTTTCAACCCACGACTGTTTGTGGGACATTGTTGTGCGCAATTGGCTGCCGCGTTCGCCCACAAACATACAGCCACTTCACTTTACAGTGTGTTCTGTGAAGCGCTTTGGGACGTCCTCCCGACGTGAAAAGCGCTATATCAAATGCGAGGATTATTATTATTATTATAAGTTATTGCAGTTTAAGTCAATCTGTAGAGGTAATTTCTAAGTGATGGTCAATCAGACCCATAACACTGCCATGTTACATATGAATGAACGGTTCTTAAATCTGTTTGAACTTCCTAACTAAAATCGTTGCTTGTGGCCGGAGGGCTGGTAGTTTGTTTGTTCGCCGGCTATTTTGTCCAGCCATTTCACGACTCGTCTTATTAACAGGGCCAGTTAATCATTAACAGTTTATTATCATTATTGTAGTTATTATTGTGGCTGTTGTGGGACATTGCTGAGTGCAAGTTGTGCTACTGCGTTCGCCTGGAGCTACTCCGTACCTCCTCGCTTGACAGCAGCTACCAGTCGAGCAGTGCGAGATGTTTGACGTCAAAAGGCGCTCTATCAAAGCGCGAGGAATATTAATATTGTGGCGATTGATGTTTTCCTCAAACGCAGTTTGTATATTAAAAAAAATGGGAGACATTGCCTTGAGTTCCACTGGACCAAGTCAAAAACAAAGCGGTTTCCTGTCCCACTGTGCTCCACCTTGCTCTCAACCAGTTGTTGCAGGAAACGCTGCTAATTGACTACGGATTCCTGCGACCGCTGTCCTCAAGTGGCCTTCGCTGTCTGACGTACATCGGTTGCGGTGGTCTTTGAGCAGTCTTAGTTTTATCGCTGTTCTTAATCTCCATTGTTTTGTTTTTTTCCCGTCAGCCGGCTGCCTCGACACGCGCCCAAACCCGTGGCCGTCCAAACCGAACTGAGGCTTCCGCGCGTCCCAGCCACACGTGGAAATTCCCACGTATCGGATTGGAATACGTACGCACTCTCTCTCTCTCTCTCTCTCTCTGGACTCACACGTCCCACTAACCTAATTCCAGAGAGGATTAGATGCAGGTACTAATCCCTTTCAAAAAAAAATAATAATTTGGTCGCTCAATCCGCGGCTGTTTGTGGGGACGCT